CGGCCTAGGCGGGAACCCGGCGGTGGCCGCCGCCTCGTCGCTGAGCACGCCGGCTGCCTCTTCCATCTGGAGCCCGGCCTCCATCTCGCCAGGCTCAGCGCCCGCGTCCGTGTCGGTGCCAGAGCCATTGGCCGCGCCCAGCAACGCCTCCTGTATGCAGCGCTCCGTAGCTGCAGGCGCCGCCACGGCAGCAGCCTCCTACCCCATGTCCTACGGCCAGGGCGGCAGCTACGGCCAGGGCTACCCCACGCCCTCCTCTTCCTACTTTGGCGGCGTGGACTGCAGCTCATACCTAGCGCCCATGCACTCGCATCACCACCCGCACCAGCTCAGCCCCATGGCACCCTCCTCCATGGCGGGCCACCACCACCACCACCCGCACGCGCACCACCCGTTGAGCCAGTCCTCAGGCCACCACCACCACCATCACCACCACCACCACCAGGGCTACGGTGGCTCGGGGCTTGCCTTCAACTCTGCCGACTGCTTGGATTACAAGGAGCCTGGCGCCACCGCTGCTTCCTCCGCCTGGAAACTCAACTTTAACTCGCCCGACTGTCTGGACTATAAGGACCAAGCCTCTTGGCGGTTCCAGGTCTTGTGAACCCAGAAGTGAAAGAGGAGAAGAAACGCAACTACCTGCGCCCTCCGTGGTCCCCATCCTGTTGCTGCTGCTGCACCGCCCGCCTTTGCTTCTCCAAAACTTAATTCTCACGTCCCGAAAGATGCCCATTGCCTGCACTGCCGCCCCCACTTTTGTGCCACTTGCTTGGGGGATTTGCAAACCCGCCTACCCCTTGAAGGGGGGGAGCGGTGCTTCGGCTTGGGGCACGCATTCTACTCGGGAGAGCTGTGTGCTCTCCCCCTCAACTCCCACTGAACTCCCGTCATCCCTTCTAGTCTTTCTGGACAGCTAATATGCACTTGCAGCCTTCGGAGGCTCTTCACTCTGACCCGCTGTTTGAGCCCAACACTTTAATTTATTCTTTCTGGACACTGGCGTCACCCACTGGCGTGTTTCTGCCCACTGGAGCACCCCCACACTACTCCAAATCAAAACCACCACTGCGTGTTTCTCCCGCGCAGACTGCCGCCC